AAAATAATTTAATTTGTTTCTTTTAATAATAATATATAAGAAAATTTAATCTAATTATTGAATGTATAATAACGTTTTAGGCTATTTAATAATATTTATTAGATTTCTTAATTAAAGTATTTTTAAATAATATAAATATAAATAAAAATTAAAATAAACTATAACATAATTAAAAAAAAATATGTGATTTTAAAATTTTCTTTAACCACCTGATAGTTGTCAAGTTTACAACATAAAATTTTATTTAGAGATATAGTATTTTTAGTGTTGGTGAAGCAATTTTCGGATGTCTTTTTTTGTATTTTACCCTACTATTACAATGATTATTGTCATTCATATAAAATTTTGGATTATTTACTTCATACGGGAATTTTTCAGTTAATCCTTGATGTTATTTATTAGTAGGATTATATAAAGGAATCGATTCTTCTAAATTAAAATCTATACTTCTTAAAATAAATTTTATTATAGGTCGGTTTTTTTCATTATCGCATAGACTGTTTTAGATAATAGAAATTGTGGAAATTTTCAAAGATTAGAAATTGATTAATGTATTAAGTTTTTCTCATATATAATATTAAAATAAATAGTAAAAATTAATATTTTTTAATTAATACTACATATTTAAAAATAATTTTATATTTAAAAAATAAAAAAATATATTTTTATAATTATTTAATTAATACTATTTTTTAAGAATAATTCAATTAATTATTATATTAATTTAGATACAATCAATTAATTTACCAAAATTAAATTAAAACAAGAATATAAATAATAACATATTCATACATTATATATTTATTTATTTATATTATATTTATATTTTTTTTACTAATCATATATTTTTTTAAGGTTTTATTATATCTAATTATTTAAAATTACTTAAAATTTAAGTCCAATAAATTTAATATTAGTTATAAAATATGTCCAATCATAAAATTTAGAACATATTTTAGGTATTCAATACAACTACTTCAATTATTAATTTAGATAAATAACTACTTAATTATTATTATAAAATATTATTTAATCATTAGAAAAAAATCTAAAATAAATATCTCTAAATATCTTATATAAATAAATTTAAAAATTATACAATATTTTTTTTATATTTTTATATAAAATATGTATTAATAATAAATTTTTTGTTTTACTATTTTTAAATTTAAATAAATTATTAAATAAACAACAAAAATTTATTAGAAGAGTTTTGTTTTTATTATTTATTTTTTTAGGTTAATTATAAATGTTTAGAAAGAAAAATAATAATTGGAATTTATTTTATAATAATCATATTTTTAAATATATATATATATATTTTTTTTATTTAATTATAAATATATATAAAATATTAATATATTTATAATTAATTATAATTTTTAATTTATTATATTTTATTGATATATTATACTAATTACCAAAATTACTATATAATTTTTGTTCATACAAATTTAATTTCTTAAATTGTTTTTATAGCAAATTATTTATTTTTATAAATTATTTAAAATTCTTCTAGTATTTCCTTAAATAAATACTAAGAATAAAAAAGCTAATTTATATTACATAAATTACAATATATTACATTATAGAAGATATTTTTTATTTATTAAATTTTGTTATAAATCATTATTCTATATGAAAAGTCGATAAATCTGTTTTTTATCGACATATTTTTCATATTTTTATATCGATTGTGTTTTTAAAATAAAAACATAAAAAAAATATAAAATTATAATTGATGATAAAAATTATTTTTAAATTTTCTAAAACCTGAATAAATAGTATGATTAATTTATTCATAAATAAATAAATTATTTATATATATTTAATATTAAAAAAAATAAAAATTAAATTAAAAAATAAAATAAAAATATAATATAATATTTTATATTATATTATATAATAAATAATTAATAATATATAAAAATTAAATAAAATCAGAAATTATAATTTTTTTATTTAAAAAAATATACAATTAATAATATTATATCAAAAAAAAATTAAATGAATTTAAAATTAATAGAAAATTAAAGAAATAAACAAAAATAGTTTAATATAAAAATAAAACAAATATATTTATAATTTTTATTTTTAAAAGATAAAAGTATAAATATAAGTAATATTAATAATAAATATATATAAAAAAGTAATTAAATAATTAATATATATTTATTATAAATTATAATATTAATTTTTTTATTAATTTTTATATTATATATATTATTACAATATTATTACAATATTATTATTTTTTAAAAATGATTTTAATATGCTTTTCCAACTTTTTATTTAACATTTTTATTAAACTATTAAATACATATTTATTAATGATTTGTTTTTTTAATTTTTTTTTTTTATTTTTTTAATACTTTATTATAATTTATCTATATCTTAAAACATTATTTTTATTTTATATTTTTTCTTAAAAAAAAAAAAGTATTATTATATTATGTTTAATAATTCTTTATACAAAAATTTAAAATAAAATAATTTCTTTTTTTTATTTACTTATTTTTTTTAATTTTATTGAGCAAAAAAATTAATTAATTTTCAATATATATAGTTAAAATATAATTGTGAAATTAAGTTTTAGTTTTTTATGATTATAAATTCAATTTTTTTTTATTTATTAAAATATAGTATATTATTTCCATAAGAGCTTTTTTATCATATGAAATTAAAATATAATTATTTTTTTATTATCAATTTAAATATGTAAAGACATGATTCTTATTATTTTCTTTTAAATAAATTAAATATTTGTATTGTTTTTATATATTATTTTTTTTTTTTTAATTGATTTATATAATCTATTTGTTCAACATATATCTTAGTATACATGAGTTTTGCTTAGTTTTTTTATCAAAAAATTAATTATTTTTAATAAATAATTCTATTTTCAAGCTTACAATAAATAATAAAATAAATATTGGAATATAATTGATAATATCAATTAATTTTTTTTAATTACATAATATATCATTTATTAGATAGTATGATAATATTTATTATATTATTTTACGCCGCAGTTTTAAAACTTTAAATTTTCTTTAATAAATCAATAAAAAAACTAATAGCGCGTTTCTAAATAAGCCTATCGTGTTTCATAAATAAAATCAGCTATTTAATTATTCATAACATATTTGTATTCACAAATTCAAGCAAACGGTTTAACACAATTATTAATAAAAATAATAAAAAATTATAGAACTATCCACTAAATTTTATTTAAGCGGCAAATACGTAATAACAATTCCTGAAATCGACAAATAAATAGGAATATATAATACCTAGCTTCGATTCGAATATTAACATCTTCTACATGAAAAATAATAGAATCTGATTGCTCGCAAACGCATATGTGCATGTATTTTTTAAGAAATTAAATATATGCCTAGTTCTTGATAATTTAAATAAATATTATAATAATGATTTTAAGGAAACTATTAAAAACTTTTTTTAATATAACATGCAATCTTTCATTAATAAAACTTTAAATATACTATATTTTTCAAATTATCGTTATTAATATTGAATAAAATCCCCTATGGGAAAAATTTATAAAAAAGGGAATAATTATATATAAAAAACAATAAATATTATAGGAAAAGAAAATATAATATTAATATTTTTAAATATTTTAGATATAATAGTAATTTTTTAATTGTTAAAATATGGATGAAATTATTTTAGAAAATTAATTAATATATTGATATTAAAAAAAACTAAATATTTAACTTTTTATAATTTCTTTTTATTTTTATATAATATTTTTAAAAAAAATTAATAGGAAAAAAAAATGGTTAGAAATGCTTGTAAAGAACTATGTTTATCTACTTGTTATAAAAATAATGGGAAACGCCTTATTGTAACTCTTAGTACCTTGAATGTAATAGAAAAAATTAACATTAATTTAAAGCATTTATTTTGATGGAAAATTAATACATTCATTATTAAATATTAGATATTAATTTTGATAAATATTCAATTTAAATATTATTCATAATTATAGAAAAATATGCATAATATATTTGTTTAATTAAAATTTTTAACTATTTTGAAATCTAAAGAAGTATTATTGTTAGTAAACATATTTAATTAAAGTTTAATTTTATAAGAAATTCGCCTTTAATTTTTACAAGAGTGGATATAAATTTCAATAAAAATAATTATTTAAGAATCAAAAATAATAAAAAATTCGTTTACAATAAATTGAATTATAAATATGAATAAAATTAAATAGTTTATATTTAAAATTATAAAAAGGTTAACATTGCTTTATCTATTATTGTTTTTATTTTAACTATACTAATATTCTTTTGTGAAAAATATATACTACAAATGGTATATAAAAAAATATTAGCTATAATATATAAAATGAACAGAATTTTTTTATTTATAATAGTTTTCCTTTATTAAAATATTTATATATATTATTTTTAAGATATATTAAAAATAAAGCATTTTCTATAATTTTTAATTAAATATATTATTTTATAATAATAAATTTATAATATTAAGGAATGAAAATAAATTAATATATATAGTTATGGATTAAATTATCCTCATAATAATAATAATTTGTTATTGAAATTAAAAAACTAATTAATATGTATTAACTATATTACCGCACCATAAATTAATCATATTAAAATTATGCATTTATTTTGATAATATTAGTAAATTTACCCTTTAAAATATTAAAACGAAAAATCTATTAAAAATATTATACAATGTTATAATACAATTTAATTATTATATATAATAATTTTAATCCTTTTTTATTTATAAAATTAACAAAAAAAGCAAATAATAAATATTACTATATTCATCATAGCTAATAGAAAGAAAGAAATTGATAAAAAATTATCAAAATAAGCTAATTTATTTGTAGAGCCTAAAGTTAATTTTTGTATAAGCAGTACATGTATCACTATTTTTTATCCAACTATTTTATTTTGATGGTGTAGCACATTTTTTACATTTTGATGTTTTCTATATGCTTCATCAGCAAGTTTTGTACCATCATATCATATCATAACATTTAACATTATATTAGGTGGCAAAAGTATTAATGTCACCATAAAACCATTTTTATTATTTGAAAAGTTATACATATAATTATCCTTCGGCAGCATCAATAAAGTAATAGTTAGCAGTATAATTAACACATTCTGTTAATATTAACAGTACCAACATGGCATGGAAGTTGCATTGTGCTATTATTAAAGGCATCATCATTGCAGTGGCGGGTAATGGACTAGTATCTGGTTGGAAAGCAGCATGACAACCAAAGTAAAAGTTAAGCCTACAATTAACATATAATGTGTTTGCATTGACATAACTATTTGCTTTAGTAGCTATCTTAGAAATAGTATGCATTAATGGGTGGAATCTAAAGCAACTGCAACGAAAGGAGCAGAAGTTGATGTTGTTATATATTAGAAAATTAAAAATAAGCTTATTAGCATTTATTTTTTCAATTAATATTTTTTGTTTACAAATATAACATATTCTTCTATTTTTTCTATTTAATAATGTATTTTTAAGTTGCAATTCTTGTAAAATTATATATCAAACTCTTTTTGAGTTACAGATAAATCGAAATTATATTTGTATTCGTGTATAAATATGTTGTTTTGAAATTTACATATTACTTGTTAGAAAGAGTTTTCTAATTTTTTAATTTAAACAATTTTAATTGATTATTATAGTAAAATTGTTTAATTATGTTCAATTTGCTTCTTCAAATATATTTAACTTTTAATTTACTTGGCCTAACATTTCCCTTATCAAATATATTAAATATTATTATTTTGTTAGCTTAAACCCTTAACGAGAAGTAATAAATTGAATACACATATATAATTGATATTATTCATAAAAAAATAAGCAAAACTTAAAATGCTAATCATATATATGAATTTTTTTTCAAAGGTTAGACTATTTTATTCTTATATCTAGGGGGCTATATAGTGTTTGATGAATTTTAATAATAAGTAAATTCGTTTCAAATTTTCTCATACTATTATAGCATTGTATATAATTATTTAAATAAAGTATATATATATT